TTTTACAAATAGCTACCCATACACTAGCGTTCTTTCCTCTAGGAAAACCGTTATTCCTGACGGAAAGGGGATTCCCGAAGGAAAGATTTGTGTGTTAGTGAAGCGTGACATGACGCTCCAGCATTACTAATTTCTTTCGGGGATGTCCCGACGTTCCTGCCCAAGACATAGTTAGTGGGCACGTAGTTTTCGCGCAGGTTATGTAGTCGCGTTGTTCTTTCTTGTTGCGTGGTTGGACACGGGTTGTTCTTGTGCAATAATAATATTATTGTTTTTTTGTGAATAATAAATAATATTAATATTAATATGGAGGAAGAATTGAGATTGACTCAAGTAACCGAACTGAACGATGATGATTGTGAAGAGAAAAGTGAAAAAGGTGACATAAGAAATGTCCCAAAAGGGATTTTGAAAGAATTTATTGAGACTTATAGAGCTCATCCAGCTTTGTGGCAGATACAGAATAAAGAACTATACCAAAACCGTAATTTAAAAAATAAAGGCTACTTGGAATTGCTAAAGATTTGAGAAAGTACGATTCACATGCTGACCACAAAACAGTAAAACAAAAAATTCAATCAATTAGAGGATCCTTCCGCAAAGAATTTAAAAAGGCAAGTATACACTTGTTAATACTCGTAGTTATACATAGATAGCTGTCCCAAAGGGTGCAAAATAGTAAATAGTTTAATATTATTTAAAGGTCGAAAAGTCAAAGCGATCAGGCAGAGGTGTTGACGAACTTTATAAATCACATTTGTGGTATTTCAAGTTATTGATGTTTTTAGTAGATCATGAACTACCAACCAGTAGTTGTGACAACATCAATGAGTCAACAAATAGCCCATTTCAAGAACCTGTGGAGGAAATAGACGAGCCCAACGAAGGCAATGAAACCAACGAAGTATTCATTACAATCATTTTATCATTCATTTTTATTACAAAATTAGATAGGTAATTGAAAAATCTTATTATAAATTTCTACTCATAAACCAATATATTTCTTGATTATGCTTTCCCTTTTGCCACCATTGCATGTTGCCAAGGAACACTACCATCACCGTTGAAGTAATAAAGGTATCTATCGCGGCTGCGTTTTGCCTCCAAAGTCATATTACGAGTTAAATTCTGCAGTCCATAAAAGTCACCAGTATCAGTTCGCCAATCCCCATCTTTGCGTAGTTCATGAGAGCTTTTATCTTCCGAGTCCACACTTTTCTGACTGAAATATGATGCACTGTTGCGCCGCAAAAAATTATGCAGAGCACAAATTGCCATTATAACTAATGTTGTGTTTTCCGGTTTCAAGGCAATTGCGGTATGAAGCACTCTGAATCGAGAAGCAACAATTCCAAAAACATTCTCAACAACATTTCTAGCCCTGGATAATCGGTAATTAAAAATTCGTTTTTCATAGGTCAATTCCACTTGACTAAATGGCTTCAAATATGTGAATGCAAGGCAAACGCCTCATCTCCCACAAAAACGAAGTTGAGATGCTCGATGTTATCTACTATTTGTGGTATATTTAACTGATCGTTGATAAGTTTGTCATAAAACTTAGTGTATTCCAAAATACCACCATCTGAATTTCTTCCATTTTTTCCGACATCAGCATAAACAAACTCGTAATTTGCATTTACTAATGCCATCAACACAATTCTATAAAAATTTTTATAATTGTAGTAAAGTGCTCCTGTGTTTGGCGGACATGCGATTCTAATATGTTTGCCATCCATTGCTCCGCCACAGTTAGGAAATTGCCAACGGGTATCAAAATCTTCCGCAATCTTCTTCCATTCTGCTGTAGTAGTAGGAAACTAAAAATAAAGTTATATGTGTTAAAAAAGTAAAAACTTATATTCGAAGTATGTAACATATAAATATTTTTTAGGGAATAGCACATAATGCAGAGTCAGTGGTTAATACTAATATTAACACCAACAACAAGAAATATAGGAATGCAGACGGTCATAGCCCTGCACAAAACAAAAAAATCTGTGAAGACAGGGAGCGGAAATTATTTCTTGCAAAGTGTACTGAGGCACTAAACTCCAAACCAACAGAAAATGATGCCCTGGGTCAATACATAAGTGCAAAATTGGAAAAAGTCGTAAACCCAGAACAAAAGATGTATGCTGAAGCATTGCTAACTAAAGTACTTAATAAGGCAATAATGGGTCAATTGAATGAATTCGTAGATGTAACCTACAGTAATGTAGGACTTTATCCTTCTAATAATTTTTCTCATGTGTCGCCAGGGTCCTCGGCCCATTCCTCATTAGCGTCTAATTCCTTTCCGTCTCCTTCCCTATCAAACAATTATTCCACAGCGGAATCTACTCCTGCTGAAAATGTTAGCCCTATGGAAGGTTTGCGAGCTTATTTTTCCTCAGCAGGTCGTGAATAACAATTATATAATTTTTTTACGTTTTCTTGTTATAATTAGGATGAGTTTTTTAGTTTATTTGTATTTGTTAAAATAAAGAGAGGACTTTTTGCACAAGGTATTGTACTTACTTTCATATATTCCTTTTGCAGAACTTCATAGATGACTCTACATATTTCGGGAATTATGCTACCTAATGATTGTGGAGAAATGCCACTACTGAATTTTGAACATTCTTAGCTTCTTCCAGTAGCTAAGAATCTTAACGTTACAATAAGTCGCTCTTCTGCTGGTATACTATCTCTCATTTGAGTATTTTGTTTTTGTATATATGGGCCAACTAATTTCAACAACTTGTCAAACACGTCTGCACTCATCCTTAGATAATTTTTAAAATCGTCGGGTTCATTCCTTTTTAGTTCTTTCAAAAGCTTCATATCGCCGTATTTCGCTCGTTGCAGTAACCATGTTTTGGACCAGGCACGTCTTTTCTTTTTTCTTTGTTGCTTAAAAACGAAGCCTTCACTTACTAACCCAGCACATGTGATAGCAATAATTCTTCGTCTTCTTTCCATAAATAATAATAATGCAAAATAGAAAATTATTTAATATTTTTTTATATAACCGCACTAGTACTCAGCACTATACACTCTGTAAATTTATCGTTTCACAATTAGCAAAATCCTTTTGTCAAAAGTAAAGTGATCGATCGTCAGGATAGATGTGTCTAAAAATGATAAATTTACACACTAACCAGCATGCTTTCCGTACAGATCCACTTTTAGGAAGAAAGATTGCAGAAAATATATTTTACGTTAGTGTGCTGTAACAGGATTATTTTCCTCATGAATGTGAGATGACAAGTCTAACAGGAAAATACGACAAGAAAGATGGTAGGAAACAGTTTGTGTTAGTGGGTGATCAACAGATTTTTTTCCCTTTGGTAATCTGACAGGAAAAACCGTCAACGGAAAGAACTGCATGAAAGAACGCAAGTGTATGGGTAGCTAATGCAACAATTCAATTTCGACGAAATCAGGCAACAACGCGTTTCGCGGTCGAATTGAGTGCAGGCAAATATGTTGCAATTCGATTTTACTGATCAATAAATAAATTATAAAGAGTAAATGATTGCATTGTAATAGTATAATTACTTTTCATTTTATTATATGGGCTTTAAGTCGTTTAGCCTCATATTATATTGTAGAAACTTACTGCTAGATTATTTTCTTTTTTGAGCAGCGATGAGAGCTATTCTCAGTGTTCTAGGCGCTGTTGCAATTTATATAATATATTCTACTAACTAGCTCTATTAAAAATAAAAAAAAATTAATAGGACTATTTTGTTTTAATGGAATTTATAGATAATACTAAAATGTGATGCAATATATTGCAGCAATGTTCCGAAAAGCTATTTTCACTTGGAAACATTATTAAACCTATAATTTCAAGTAAAACTGATATCAATACTGCTTAATATCAGATTGTACGTAGCACGAAATTTTAACTCGAAGCCTTGTTGTTCCAAAGCGGTTATTGCACTGTAAACGAAATTACTTTGATTATTATTATTATTACATTGTTACTAATATTAACCCTTTCCACTCGGATGCCGCCGCAAAATACAACTAATCTCGCAATTAGCGAGTGGGAAGGATTAATAACTTTCCGAAGAAAAAGTTATGTTTTCGACAGAAAATCTAAGCTTAGAATAATAAACTTGATTTTCAAAATGAAATCAAAATTCAAAATTTAGTCGCCGTTATTTTAAAAGTTATTATGTAACCTATTCTATCTACCTACCTATTCTATTCACGTACACTTCTTCTATTGAATTTACATCCAATTTTTGCTATTTTAAGTTCAACCAATTTTTTGTTATTTTTTTTTTATTATCATTATATATTTCTATATCAGAAATTTTTATTTTGAGTAAAATAGTTAAACGTATTTAGTATTATCAATTAGTTTTTTATACAAATTACTGGAATAGGAACTCGGTACCTTTTTCATGCCAGTCGACCATATATTATATTAGCAAATAATTTAATATAGGTCGCAAAATTTATATAAAGTCAATGAAAATCCCTACATATATCAAAATCGTAACAAACGTTGGGAAAAATTGATCACACCAATAAAAACTGATGTGCAATATGAAGATTTCTCTATTAATTTCAAGTTCCACATTATGTGCAACTTGATATCAAGCAGTAGTAATATCCATCTCTACTGGTAAATGTAGTTCAAAAAGGCGTTTTCAAGCAAAAATAATATTACTGTCAAAAATGAAAGTTTAAAAAAATTGCGATATGTTTTTAATAGTTAGTGCTAACAGTAGTAGGAATAAATAAGAGATTAAATGCACGGAAATGATATTAGAATGATATAGTATAAATATATTCCTATAATACAAAGTATATTTTAAGTGAAAGGTAAATTGTAGTAAAAAATATAAAATTAATTTTCAAAATGTAATTGCAAAATGTTAAGTCTAATTAAACTAGTTAAAATACTAGTTTTAAGTAAGGAGAGTCAGTTGGTTACTTTTTGAATAGTTATCTGTAAAATTGAATAACAATGCGATCATGGAAGATACAAATTAGTTCGTATTAAAAAAATACATAAATATATATAAAGCAGTCTAGCCACTGGCATTTCTTCGTAATTATAGATGCTTTAATTTTTTTATTTTTTTCTTTATAATTTCTTTTATGAAAAACATGAATATAAAGTACTTTAATGCAATTTTACAAAATTACAGGTTCACACAATTTATTAGATTTTTGCTATATCAATTGCCAAAACCAATAATAATCTTGGTATAATTTCTGTAACGAAACAATAACTATATGTCCTCATGAAATATAGACATATTGCAATTCATACAGAAGAAATAAATAAAAACTGAAGAAAATATCCATCATCATCTGTTACACTATAGATGTATAGAATGCGGATCAGGTCCGATCATCCTGGATGAGTTTGTGATGATACAAACACGCGAAAAGCGCTTTTGAAGTACGACAATAATGATGAGATGGATATATACACCATGGCCATGTTATATATATATATATATATATATATATATATATATATATATATATATATATATATATAGCTAAAGGTATCAATATTTTATGAGATCGCACATAAAATAATTGAGTTACGAAAAAAAATGATACTCTTTTCGTGTTGAAACGATACAGTGCCACTCTACTGGCTTCTTTTTTAACCAGATCATTCTGTGACAAAAAATGTATACTTTATGGTGAAGTATTTTTTACACGGATAGCTAGGAAGAATTTCGAGGAAATTTATATTCAATAGAAACACATATGGGAAGATTATGATTTTAGGACCGGTGTTTAGAATTTCAATTTTTTTTTATTTCATTTACTATCAACATAATCGATGATAAATGACGACTTCTATCTATCGGTTGAGATATCTCTAATAATATAGCTTTGTGTTTAGAATCAAATTATTTCATTCACTTCTTAAATTACTCATATTGAATCGATTTATCTGCAAGATTATAAGATAAACCTTAATAGTTAGTTAATAGAGTAGCTAATTTAGCCCTTCTTATTTCAATTCCAATGAAGATTTTTATGTCAACCTTTTCCTTAATGGTAACTTTTTATGTCAGCATTTTATTTAAATTTTTTGTAACTAAAATCTTACTATTTAAAAGATTTTTTATTAGAAGATACTTGCAAAACATACCAGTTTCAAACAGAGAATAAAAAAAATCAATAATAAAATTAATTGTTTGGATTAATTAGAAATATAGTAATAAATATAAATTAATTTTTGTTATCGTGACAGTTAATTTTCGGGTACGAATGTATATTTCAAAAAAAGTGTTGTATATATACACTAGAGTGGTCCTTAATATGGACATTTTCGAATTTCCTTGCTCCCAAGGGCTCAAATGGTTCCAAATTGATAAACTATTCTCTCAAAGTTTTAGCTCTTAATATTGTTTTTAGATAGTGCGCAATTCAATCAAAGTTTTGTATGGAAATAGCATAAAATTTTTTTCAAAAATTTTAACAAGGTTTTTAGATATAATTTAGCGAACAAATGAATGAGTTTTATTCAAAATTTATCGCTAAGTTATACCTAATTTTTTTTTTTAATTTTTAAAATTTTGTCCATGGTCTTTCCATACGAAGTTTGATTGAATTGCGCACTATCTAAAAGTTAATATTAAAAGCTAAAACTTTCAGAGAATTGTTTTTTATCAATTTGAAACCATTTGAGCCCTTGGGAGCAAGGAGATTCGAAAATGTCCATATTAAGGACCACCCTAATATACACATTATATACAATATAATAATTTGTAAAATGGTAGATAGTAGATAATGATAATTCATTCAGATTTAAAAAAGAAAAAACTGAATTGTTTTTTAAACTATTTTTAAAAAGACTTCCATACGTTTCGGATCCCTTCTTGAAATATTATTCAGAAGCACATAAAAACCACATAGAACGAACAAAAATCTTAACAGACATATTTGAGAAAAAAATTACATATTTCATTTAGAAAAATATAAATTAAAAATAAAATATAACTGCTACCTATTTAGAAGTGATGTGCAAAAAATAATCATTTCTTCTTTAGTTGAAAACCAAAGAATTTTATTGCACACATCACATCAAAATGGTTGTTACTTATAATTAATTTTTAACTAAATTTTTTAAGTTAAATATGTAATTATTTTCATAAATATGATTGTTATTTAGACTTTTCTTCATTTTATGTACTCTTTATATTTAAAAAAAAATTATGTGATTTATCGAGAATAAATGAATCTTTACAATAAATAAATAAATAAATGAGTCAATTGTAAAATTTCTAATGAAAATTATTTAAAATAGTAATTTGATTTATCTTTTTAATATGTAGAAGCATGCCTGTAAAAAAGCTTTTTGCTTGTATTATATATAGTAATTTTACGTTTTAACAAACTCAATGTCTAACCATCAAAATATTCCTTTTGTCATATTTATACCTACAACAAAAAGTCTTCGCAATGTAGACACACCAGATTATTATTTCATGCCACCGAAACCAAAAAAAACAGGGTAAAAAATAAATATAAATAAAAACTTTTGATCGTA